GGGGGAGGGGTTGGCAGCACTGTATAGGGGCCACAAAAATCTACCGTCTGGGGCCTGTTCAGCAAAATATATTGTGCCGAAGGTGACATTTTGGCAAGGCGTTCAAAATTTCATGTTAGATCCCTGTTTGTGTTTTATTCACCACACGGTTCCATTTGATCCAAGGTAAAACATCCATCCATCCATCCATCATCTGTAACTGTTTGTCCTATTGCAGCCTATCCCAGAAGCTACAGGCACAAGGCAGATACTAACCAGGGGTGCCAACCCATTGCAAGGCACACACACCAGTCAATTTGGTAACTCCAGGTCACCTTAACAGAGTCTTGAGCTCAGGTCCCACAGGTGTGAGGCTACAGCACAAACCACTACACTACTGCCCAGCTAATACACCTCTTTTAAAACTGTTTTCCTATTTTGTAGTTTCGAGGGTTCAACCCAGTATGATCAGTTTCCTGTAAAATCACATGCACAATTTGTGAGACCTGATCAATTATACATGAAGGTTAAATGGATTTTTTTCCAGTAACGTCAAAGGAGGTGTCTGTGAATGCCGTCTCTTTCAACACTAAGTGGCAACTTAATGATCAGACAATCCTGTTTCCCACAATACCCCATTTATCTTGTTCAACACTAGTGTTGTTGCCAGAAGTCCTTATCAGCTGAAATACTTTGTCTTTTTGGGACTGAATTAGTCTCACACTTGGATTCCCTTGACCACACCGAGAAACCACACCGAAAAGAGCTTTGTGTTCAGCAGATTGTGCTCTGTTGCTGGGATTTAAGGCGGGTCTCCATCATGTTTAACGGGATTGTGAAACTCATATGGAGAGTTGCTGGCTGTCAGCCTTGGTTAAATGTTTCAGAAGTGAATGTGTTGATTTCGTGCTGAATCTCACATGCTCCAGGGTTCTCCAGCAATTGAACAGCAATCAATCCACACTTTCACTTTACATTACATTTTTACTTGAGTTGCTGGTGAAAGTTCTTTGTTTTTGTTAACTATGCTTATTTAAAATTCGTTATGGCAAAATCAGTGTGGAAAGGGGAAGCTACAAATTGATAACAGTTGCAATACTTACTACATGAAATTCTCAGAAATATCGTTCACTGACACAGTGATCACTGTTTACATTCCAGTAACTGAAATTAATGTTCTGTTCCACTTCCTCAGAAATTCCCTTATCATACATCTGAAACTGTATGGTGAGACCATGAAGCTTAATAAGAGAGAAGAGGAAAAAAGTCAAACAAACCAACCACAGGATGTGAAACTAAAAGAGAAAAAAAAATGTTAAACAATCTTGTTGAACATCCATCTTAAATGGTATTGAGTGTTTCCAATATAAGCTCGGTTTTATTATAAATTTGTTTTGTCATCAAACTAAGAACAAATCTCACAGAAGTGAAGATTCTTTCTACACAAACATAATAGTGATTCTCTCTCTTTTGGGGGGGAAAACTCCTTGCGGTTTATTAGCTGAAGACACTGAAGCATAACATTACATTTTCAGCTTGCATTGCACTCATTTGCATAGAGTGAACAGCAAAAACGGAAGGGAGAAAACAGAACTCGGAAACATCTGTCATGTCAACCACTACGCATAAATTGCAAAGGGATCCTGTCGCAGTTTCATTGCTATAAGTTCCTAACACGAGAAATAGACAGGCAGCCCAAATGCTTTAAAGTCATTTCCTCAATGACCTCTTAGGTGTCTTTTTGACTAATAAACCGGTAGCTTTGATTATGGCAGCACAGCCCATAGGCCTATATGTACGTAGCACGCAATCAATGAAACCACATGGCGTTTAGTGACCCACGCAGCATAACACTGCCTGTGCATGCAGGCATAAATAATGACGGCCATAAAAGTCTAAAGATTAATTTAACTAGGTAGTAATAACAGTGGTAACATAACAGATTTATACGTCCCTTTGTCCATAGCACTGCGTCTGCAACTGGGACAGGGACCAATGGACGCAAGTCAATTTGAGCGTATTTCGATATTTATAGGGGAGAGGCAAGACATAAAACACAATACTATAAGATACACACAGTACTCTACAGCAAATTATAATGTAAATATAAATTTACACCATAAAAAGATTTCACTTTGATTTCATGAAAAATAAGGCAGGTACGAAAGATGCACGCAGTAGCAAAGAATGGGAGCTGAGAAAGACAGACAGACTGCTTATTGTAGCTTATTGTCCATCACATATAGGCCTATATTACTGTATGTATACTGTAGGCTATTACAGGGATAGATATGGACAGTGGGTCATCATAAAGCTGGCCATCATAAAGCGCAACCTAGTGATGGCCAAATGAAGCTTCATGAACCATTTTCTGTATTTTGACCCCACTAGATGGTTCTCTTTGGGGCATGCTTTGAGCCCTTTTTTTTGGAGTAGAGAGCACCATCTAGTGGGGTAAAAAAGATACAGCAAATGGTTCATGAAGCCTCATTTTGTCCATCACTCTCATGATCCAAATCCTGATGAATTTCAATGTTGCATGTGCAACATCGAAACATATATTGCCAGCAATACTGCTTCCTGAATGGTAATATGCATGGCAAAACATACAAACAACCAGGGGCATGTTTTCCAAAATATGCATCAGAAAAGGATGCTTTACTGATTTTTCTTGGGAACTTAAACTTGGATATCCGCAGCAAAAAGAAAAAAAAATGGTGAAATTAATCAAATTTTGTGGATGCCTAAACAAAGGAAGCATGAGGCATATTTGTGGTATGAGCCAATTTATATCCTATAACATCTTTCATTCCACATAAACACGGCTATTTATACCCATAAATAGACTCTGTTTATACCCATCTTTCAGTAAACAACTAATTCATACTTACTTGAATGACATCTGAATACCACACCAATACAATCGCTTACGAAATGTTTTGCATAATACTGTCATAGAACAATGTAATTGTTTAGAAAGCAGTTTCATTTTTACACTTACGACTCTACTCGAAGGCACTGAAGAGTTGTCATGCAAAATGTCATTGTGCTTTGCCACTTCAGCGCTCTTTAAATACTTATAAGTTCATAAAATTGTTAAGCACTCTAAGTAATGCAAAACGATGATCAAATTTCAGCAAAGCATTTTTTCGATGATTCACCTTTTGCGACAGAGAATCAGTATACACACACCTCCCCAAGTGCCTGCTTCTCGCTGCTCACTCTCGTGGCGTGTTCATTTTTACTATCTGTGACAGGGAGGATTAAGGACTGGTAATTTAAATGGACTCCCTACAAAAAGTATAAATTGCACCAGAACAATGTAGTTCATTATATACAACACTTTAACATAGACAAGGTCTGTCCTCTGGCAATTGTCAACCAGCTGGCTTTGCGAGTTTACTAGTCCATCACAGTTAGCTGTAATTTGGAAAACATGTTTCTACATCAAGCAGATATGAATAAATGATTGTTTCGATAAACTTTGGAAAGAGGTGTGGACACCATCTATTCATAACGCAGCTCACAGACCATTGGTTTATTTATAATGCAATACATCACATATGACATCAAAACATGATGTATAACATTTAAGAATGAGTTTGATGGAAATTAATTACGACAAATGCACATACCAAACCTGTTAGAATCCTTGAGATTTTAGCAATAATGAAAACATGTAGAAGTATCTGAGACATAAAGGCATCATACAATGCAACATAGTCATTGTGTTTAAGAAAGAAAAACAAGGAGCAGCTTTGGCCGAGTTGGGATGTCCTACTTATGGGTGAAGAAGGCAGACCGAGATGAAGGTCCCATCAGCATGTTTGCCTGGTTCTTGTGCGAGATGTGGATCTAGAGGGATCATTAACAATAGCAGGGACGTTAATGAAAAGAAGTACATTTGTAAAGTGTATTTTTTGACACGACAATGTAAATTTTAAAAATCAGTCAAATTAAATAATAGTGTCACATGGTGTTTGTCTCAGATGTGCACACACACTGTGCTGCATTATCCCTGGCAGTGTGTTAGTGCTCGGATCTCACACTTACTGTGCAGGGGGGCTGTAACCAGGGCTCACCATCAATCTGCATGGGCAACCGCTTCTTTGTCCTGGGAAGGAGGGGGCCATTGGGAGAGTGATAAGGGGGCGGGCAAAATGACAGGGCTGAAGAAAATGTCAAAATCCACCCTGCACTTCATTGAAACTTGTATGCTAAGAATTTATGCAAGTCTATGTGGAAATACTTTTAAATATGGATATACTCAGTTCAGGTCCACTTTTTCAAGACGATATACAAATCCTGCTCTTTGGTGGGTACTGATCACCTGTTCAGCCTGTACCTTATTGTGATCTGTGATGTTTTGGCCAGTCTGTGCCCAGCACTCTTCAGCCCAGTGTAGATCTGGCCCATTTCTATCACACCCTCTAGCCCAACCACCTCTAGCCTCTTGTCACTGAGATCTTGGAAAGACGACAGATCAAAATAAGTGTACTGAGGCAAGTATGTTGAGAAGGTTGCTATACAACATTAAACTTAATTGGATTGGCAAAGATGGAATATAAATGATAGAAATTTGGAAAAATGCTATGCATATTTTATAGGAGTTCCCCCCCCCAACCTGAACCTCGGCAACTCCCAGACAGTCCACATTTTTGCTCCCTATCGAAAGTGGACTGTCAGGCAAGGAGCTGAGGGGGAGCAAAAACATGGACTGTCTGGGGGCCCTCGGGGACGAGGTTGGGAAACACCGCTTTATAGTATGAAATTTTATAGCATATGTAAGCACAAGTAATAGGGGATATGATTCTACCTTGGGAGCTGAATTTCAGGTCGTTGTGGTCAAGGACAACTTCTTGTGGTTTCTGGTCTGCTAAGTCTTTGTCTGACTTCTTGGGCTCCCCCCACAAGTTGGAGCCCCCATGTATGCTGGGAATGTTGACAACAGCTATCCCTTCCAAGGACCGGCTGCTCAGGTCAAGCGGGGTACCACAGCACTTTCAAGGCAGAAAGATACAGATAATCAATGTCGTTTATGGTGGTTTAAGTCGAATAAATAATCGAGATTAAGATTCGTTTCATGCGAGCTGTTATTCCAATGTAAGTATACATATGACTTCCAGTCTCTGCGACGTGGACTACATGCAGTACCACATAATCAGGCTCAGCACCTCGACTGTAAGACACTCCTTCAGCTTCTTGCAGGAAGCGGAGATGGTCTCAGAGGTGGCAAACTCAAAATACCGTAGCTTGTTCTTTATCCTAGAGACAAAGGGGTCAGTATGTGTAAAGAAAAACTCAACTGCAATTGTTTTACAACATGGATTAATTATTCTTTATAAGTAAACATTTTAAGTCTGACATTTGGCATTTAAAGTAGCACTAATCTAAATTTTTGAGCAATATGCACTTCAACCAAACTATGGAGTATTGCTCCCCCTGGTGGCTGCAGCCTGGTAGAACAGCCAGTGATTTGTGGTGCTTGGGTTAAATTTTCTATTACGTTAGAAGACTGAACACAATTTTATTTGCAGGAATTTCAGATTCAGTTGGTAAAAATAAACCACAGTGGTTCATTTGCAAAGACATTTACTTTGTATAAAGATCTGTATTGAGCAAATATATAAATAGTGTAATATGAAGGGCTGGCCTGGGATTAAAAATTGGCTCTAGACTAGTAAATTTTGGCCTCACAGTAGATTTTGCCCATTGGCCCTCTGGGAAGATGCCCAGTATGTCTGATGACCTTTCCAGCCCTGGCAATATGCCCAATCTGTAGTTTGTAGTTAAGGAACAGACTCTTTCTCCTGTCTGGTACTCAACTGCAGGCTCACCTGCTGTTAAACTTCTGTGGGTGTTTCTCTCTCATCACATGGAAACGATGAGCGATAGACGCATCCTGTTAATAGCAGGGAAAAAATTAATAGCCTTAGATGGACAAATGGATACACCGAAAAATGTCTCTCCTTTGTGTCCGACTCACCACTCCAATGGAGAAGTAGTTGTTGATAATCTCGTAAGGCACCTGGTCCCCCTCTTCTTTGCTGTCCTCCGGAATTACTTGTATGCTCCAGCGATCCATGAGAATGCAGGAGCTCACCTCAATCTCCTTCAAAATCAGCGACAGATCCATCCCATCGTAGCCTATAAGAAAAGAGGAAAGTGATGGTTGTCACTGCTGACATCCTGCCTGTGGCAACTTTCTGGAAGCAGGGAATATGGATCCTCACCTCCACCCCAACGAAGGCAGCGTGCCAAGTCATTCCCAGTGCCCAGGGGCAGCACGACCACAGGAGGGCATACTGGGAGGTTAGCCTTGTCTGGAAAGAAGCACAAGCTAACTTTTAAGAGTCCTCTGGAGTTTCACTTATTCACTTATTTATTCATGCATGTCCCCTTCAACGTTTATCTTCAGTCATTAATCTAATTTACAATGTTAGACTTCTGAATTCCATCTGTGATAGAGAGGTTGAGGTGACAGTGTTTATTCCAAACATCCACCAAAAACGTGAGCCTTACGTCTAGGTATTCCAGCTGCATAGGGTGATTGGTAGTGATGGACAAAATGACACTTCATGAACCACTTGCTGTATTTTTGACCCCACTAGATGGTGCTCTTGGTTTGCTTTTTTTTTTTTGAACAGGGAGCACCATCAAGCAGGGTCAAAATAATACAGCAAATGGTTCATGAAGCATCATTTTGTCCATCACTAGAGGTTAGACAGAGAGCCGGGTAGGAATTCTTACCTATAGCATCTAGAACCCAGCCAACAGTGCCATCCCCCCCACACACCAGGATCCTGTAGTCCTTTAAGTCCTTGAAAAAATTAAGCCTGACAAGCACAAGATTCCAATTAATTAAAATATCCTAAATGTGTTTCTAATATAGTGCTTTATATATAGTAACACTAGTATCATCAGGCTAGCAGACCGTAGGTGAACCACACAGTGTTTGATTAGTTACTGCCCACCCTGCATGACACTGTACAGATTAGAGACAGGTCTTACCCTGGTCCCGGTCCTCCATTGCAGAGGTTGAACACCTGTCGTGGGTTCAGCAGGTGCTGGAATTTACGCAGAACCCTAGAACATGAGCCAGAGTGAGGTCAAGATCAGGTTTTCAAACCATGCAGGTTGTTTATCAGAAGATAAGCAGGCTGCCTCTCACCTCTTACCCTGTTTACCTCCACTTTTGGGGTTCACAAACACCAGTAGAGGGTGTGTGTCTGGAACAGGCATGATCTGCAACAGAGGTGAGAATGTCTAGGACTGGTGTATTAAGGCTGGTTCATACTTACTCCGCACAAACGCTACACTCATGTTTCCATTCTGCGTATGAGTACATGGAAACGTTCATAGTTCTCTGTTCAAGCTGTGTGCTTAGAACACATTGTGTGCATGTGCAATTTATATTTTTTAATAATAGTAATAATATAAATGATAATTCTGATATTCCCTGCACATGTACCACAGCCGTGAGGTTTATGTCCATTTCTCAGTGTTCTAATTCAGAGAGCCAGCTCACAGGGACGCCAACTTTGGTCAGCTGGCTGGCGTGAGATTTTCAATTTGAGACAAGTCTGCACACACATACACACACATTTACATGTATGTAACCGTTTTAATACCATGTAAATACTTCACAGGGTTTGCAAACTACCCCAATGCTCGTCAAAAACATCCATGTTGGTATTTAAAGGGGACACTAGCTAATCGATCATGCGCAGTGTGTCCTGAGCTGCGCATATGCCGCTGCGTGGATACAAATTTGGAGGGCAGCAGGCGTTCGTGTACAGAGGTGCACAATGGCGTCAGACGCATAAACGTTTGAGTGGACACGTCCGCTAGTGTGCGTGTATTGAAGTATGAACCAGCCTTTATTTGAAAGAGGAAAAAGGACCTTTGACTGGTTGCGTTTGGCAGGAACATACCTGCAGCACCTGGCCATCAGCCATGCTGTTCTGCATATCAGTAATCTTTGAATTTTCCTGCAACACAGATGTAAGTAATGATTTTCTGTTTTCTGACCAACCACAGAAAGGCACTTCTGCAATTATTTCCAGTGGTTTGAGGTATGTGTCATCTGTCTTTATCTGTATTTCAATAGCAGATATATTTTCAGTAAATATGAAACAGTGTTACTGGTATCCTGTCCAGATGCTGCCTGGAATAGGCTGAAACCCTCTGCTGCATCCATAGTAATACAACTTTATTCCCAGAACTTATTTCTATTATGTAACAAAGTAAAGCAGCCACAGACGCCAAATCCCACTATGCCATGGTACCTTGATCACAGAGTATATGGCCCAGTGAGGCAGGACATGATCCCTCAATGGCCCACAACTGCACTCAGAGGGCTCTTTTGATGCACAGTCATCGTGACGCTAGGAAACAACAACAACAACAACATTGAACAGTTTGCTCACTTTCTCTTGCTCACCTTCAGGAAATTGTTCAAAAACTGTCATACATCAGAGAAGTACAGGCTCACAGACAGGGAATGATTTGGATTAATATACGTTTCCCACGTTACTGAATGGTGTCCCAGTGACTTAGCATTGTAGGACAATGTGGCCCTGGAGATCAGAAATCTGGACGGTCCTCACCATGATATGGCACCGGACACAGTGCTTTCCGCTCAGGCTCTTTATCTTGTTCTGGCACCTCTCACACCGACCAGACGTGTCGTTCCCACTGGCCCAGGAATGCACTGGTACCTGAATCACCAGAATGTCAGACACCTACTCCAGGATGACACACTGGCCTCCCACCACTTCAAGGCGGGAGGGGCTACATACCCATTCCTAAACACAGAGTCCCATTAAGAATGTTTTAACAGGTCCTTGGAGACCTCCAGACCATATTTTTGTTCCCTCCCAGCTCTCGGCACACCTGAAGCAAACAATCAAGGACACCAAATACCTGGTACAGGTGTGTTGGGACATGGGACAATGCGAAAATGTGGGACAATGTGGACTCTGGGGTCTCTGAGGACTGCACTGAGAAACACTTTAAGATAAATTTCCTTCCTTAAATAACTTCAGCCTTGTTTTGATTACATTTTGATTAATACAAAAACCACAAACTGCAGTTTAACTAGCAGAGCAAAAAACCTTAAGTAAAGTTTTGAGTAAAAGAGTGTTAATGCATATAGGATAATGACTATATCACAAATTACTTATGGTTATTTATTTTCCAGATCAGTGATTCTCAAGCTCTGCAATATATGTTCTCCAAATTTCATAATCATCATGAAAGTGATGTGTGGTCAAACTCTGAGACTGAGACACGATATTGACTGTCTGATAACCATTCCTGCAGTCAAGAGACCGCCCTGTAGCAAAGCCCCAGAGCTCACCCCGACGTCTTGCTTGGATTTGACGTAGGTGTTGAGGCAGGGGGCAGGGTTTTGGTTGGCACAGCGGCTGTGTACAATGTACTTGCAATCTAACAGAAAAGAAAAAGAACAAAAACAAGTGCTTTTGTGTATAAGATACGACACAGATGTGACTTTCTATACACACCGTGACTAACATGCATGTATGCTGTGAGATTTTATCAAATATAAGGTGACAAACTCTCTCTTTTCTCTCTCCTTGCTGCACTCACAGATGCAGCATAGCCCCTGGCGGTACAATCCCAGCAGCATGCTCTGGCAGACGTTGCAGTAAACGGGCCTCTTAAAATTCTTCATCCTCCATAAATGTTGCCCGTCTCTCTGGGTCACCTAAAAATCGGGGAGAGGCAAACAGACGGCAATTATGTCATTGAGAAAATAAATTCAAATAAAGAGAAAAATCTATTAAAACCTCCAAAAATACCATGAGGGGAAAATAAGAGATTGTGAATATCATATTGTCATGGTCTGGGGGGTTTCTGACATGGGGGCGAGGCAGGGTGCCGGCAGGAAAAGAAGTGGACGATCCACTGGCAGCTCCAGGAACACAACAGGGGTTTAACAACAGAAAACACTAGGAAACAAAATGGACCACGAAGGGTCAAAACTAAAAAGGGATATGAAGTAAATTAACAAAACCAAAAAGACCTACGAGGGAGAAACTGGTAACAGAGAACAGGCAGGGATGCAAACATAGCAAACAGAAGAATCAGGGAACTGCAATCAACAGGACCATCAGCAAAACACCACAAACAACGACTCCACCACAGAACAGAGCAGGATCAGGACTTGTATACAGAGGCCAACAAGAATAATGCAGGATAGGTGGGAACAATTAACAAGAGCCGGCAAAATGGGTAACAGGTGAAACAACTAATTAAAATCAAGAAACTCAGAAACTAACAGAGAAACTAAGAAACAGAATCTAACACTAGGGGATTAACGAAGGCAGGTAAAACACAACCATGGGCACAAAGCAGAAACCCAAAACCGAATACAAGTCACAAAACACTGGAACTAGAAAAACTGATACAAATGAAACACTAGGGAACAAAAATCTACAAAATACAAAAAACAGAGGAAGCGGGATTTTTACACATGACAGAGGGGCTAATGATAATGATGATAGTGACCACATGCTCAGCTCATTCAGCCATGCGGCAGTCCAAGGAACAAGGATTTTGACAATGAGGAGGAACAGGATGGCCAGCGACATCTGCTGGCCAAACGGGGAGGAGACATGAATTCCTGGGACAGACGGGTGCTGACCCTGACACATATGTAAGGAATAATTGACGACGGGCCGTTGAATTATTAGAAAAATAATGCACAGTGCATTATTTTTCTAATAATTCAACGGTCCGGAGTCAATTATTCCGCTTATACTACGGTTGCCACACCTCAAGACATCGATCAGATGATATATTTCAAGGGATTCGCCCGGTTTTTCTACTTAAATCGCTATTGTGAGTAGGATTATTTCTTCCGCATCTCATCCAACGACACTTTTGCTAGTTCCAAAACGTCATTTTAAAGCTGGCAATGGAGGCTTGAGCCGTTGATAGCAGACTAATGCAGTTAATAATGAAGTTATTAGAAAGAGAGCGAGAGAGACAGAGACACAGAGAAAGAGAAACAGAGAGAGAGAGAGAGAGAGAGCTTGTATGAATTAGGCTAACTCTGTGTGTCCCTCAACAGTGTTCTGAAGCACCGTCTCTAAACTGTAAGTCTGCTTTAAGATGCAGCGCTGTTATTACCTCGTTAGTGAGAAATGTCATGTGTAGCCTTTAAGTTGCTACACTAGGCTAACTGATAAAATCGTCAGGGCAGCGCTGACAACACGTTTTTGTGTGAGTGTGTAACACATTCACATTTCATATTCACCGTAAATATTAAAATTTACTTTCGGAAAATCGTCTGTCATGTTGTTGTTTTTGTTAGTCCTGTGTGCTATATAGGTACTGTATGCTAATTTCCGTTATTACAGTTAACTATGCGAAGTGATATGGAACTGTAATGCGGTCAAGAGAGCTGCCTGGAACTACGTTCGCCGTGCGTTTCCCTGAAAATAATTGCACACCTCAGAACGTTCGTCAGCCAATCAGATTCAAGCATTCAACGGTCCCGTAGTATAAGGCAAAAATAAAAAACAACATTGTGATGTTACTTGTACATCAGATTTATTTTTAATGCACAGGCTATTTTAAAATACTCCCAATTTGAAAATTCATAAACAAACACAAATTTCTGCTTGTTGGCCGCCTGGTCTTTGATTGAACGGGGAAGACTGATTGGACTGGAGAAGACCCTGTGCCCCCCATCCTTTAATGAGTCCTACCTTAAGTCCAAGAAGCACCAACAGGGGTGTGTTGTTCATCCCACCCTGCACCCACTCCTCGAGGGATACAGTGCCGCTGCTGTCCACATCGAACGCCGCCAACATGTCCTCCAGCACCTGACCAGGAACAGCGGGGTCACGACCAAGCTGTGCAAAGGACCTGAAATCTCCCCTGTGCAAAGGACCTGAAATCTCACCGAAGGTCTCCCTACACTGACATTCCATCCCGTTACCCCAACGAAACTGGTCAATTATTATTCGATCTAATTTAAAATGTATGCAATTGCCACTGAACATGTAAAATACAGTATTGATTAAATGAAAGTGCACTCATCATTCCCACCTGTGTAAAAGCTAACAACAGTTGATCACAAAAAAAGGCGTAGCTATGAGGAATACAATATCAAATGTCTACAGTAAACGAACAGTATTCATTAACTAATTAAAAAGATTAGTGGAATAAGGGTCCATTTTACATATCGTCCTATAGGAGCTTAGTTTGAGATCCTTGTTTTTGGGTTGGACAGGGTCTTACCCATGGACAGAGCACCCCTCAAAAAATGCAAATGGAAGAACCACTTAAGACTAACAAATCAATATTATAGCTGACATGGTTTTTAACAGATTTGCCAGACACAAAAGTGACCAGTGGACGACCTCATTACAGATTTGATGCATACAGCTTTGATACACATTGACCTTGAGTCAGGGCTTAGCCCTTCGGTGTGGTTCTCCTGCTCCTAGGTCACATTTCAGGTTATACAGTGAACTCCCTTACCGGTCTGAGCTCAGTCACATCCCAGCCCAGGTACTCCGCAGCTTTCATCATCTGTGTGATGATCCGATCCACCTCCTAAAGCAAAGGGTTTCCGGAGTTCCAAATAGTCAAAACCTTATAACCTCAACTGAGGAGTTCTGTGAGAGCATTTACAGGAGCAACGAGGCTTTGGAGCTCATGCTGGATGGGACTGACCATGCATTGTCCTTCATCGCTTGGTTTAACCAATTCACAGTCAATAAAGAAACTAATGAAAAGTGTGTTAAACTCGTCAGTGATTCATTGGGAATAACCATAGATTCAAAACCTTTTTTCCTCAAACTTACATCGACTATAGATCATTTTTATATATCAATGTATTTGTCACTTACTGTGCTGTCCAGCACCCCATTACCATCTTTGTCATAAAGTTTGAAAGTATCTAAACAGACAAAAAAAAGGGGATCATTATAAATACATTCCAGATGCTCTTGTGTTATTATCAGGATGATCGAAGTTCACAGATTATGGCCAGATAACTAGCTGAAAACACTCACATTCCAGTTTGTCTGCAGGTTGTCCATCTTCCAGCAGAGAGAAGTAACATGACACATCTTTAAGAAAGACAGTGCCTGGCAGAAAGTACATCATGTATATTCGTGAAAAGATGAAAAATGCTTGCTTATCTTCATAGACTCAGCACCATTATTGATAATACCAGCAGTTCTACCATTTCACAAGTTTCCAAACTGCAAAGTTGTTCATATCAGTAAACTAGGGAAAGACCTCTGTGTAACATGGCAACATCTGAAGTGGCTTATACTCTATTTCACCCTGAAATGCTTACATTTTGCAAAGGAATACACCTGATAATCAGTTAGCTTACATTTCTTCATTTTGGAAGCGCTAATTTTCAGCAAATCTACTCCAGCGCCAGGAATGTTAGTAAACGACGTGATAGTTTCTAAGAAGAGTACTGGTGACAAAATTTCAGGCTTTATTGCTTGAAAAAGATTTGATTTTATAAAGCATGATAAATTAAATCTGGTAAAGCCTGTGTTAAGCATTTGGTTAAGCTCCCAGTGGTCGACACCCAACCCTATTTTCCCTGTAAGCTCTGTTATTTTTATTGCGCAATTTTTCATAACATGAAGTTTTGTGGGAAAATCTATTGCGTCATCGCAGAAATGGGTACAAGCACTGTAGTAAAATAAAACTTAAGATATTTAGCTAACCTGCTTATGGATGTGCCTGCTATATTTGGATCTTGAATGTTTCCAGTTCTGATACATTATTTACATTCTGTAATGGGCTGCACACAGAGTAATTCATTTAAAGGAGGGTTCAGTGATTGACAACATGTGCTATTCGTGGCGTAGAAGTGGCTGTTTTTCACCAGGAAAACACTGCATATAAGGTTCCCCCCATTTAAAGATGCTTCCATTATAATAATTATTTTTTAGGCATGTGCATTGATCTGGTGAAGTGACCTTCAGTTAAGCACAAAAAGGAAACCTCACTTTTCGGGGTTTGAGCAGCAGTGCTCTGTCCATTGTGGGCACATTTCTGGAAGGAGTAGAAGAGACGCTGACAAAGGTCCATAGGGATGTCTTTCACTTCCAGGTAGGTCTTTAGGAACTGAACAAAGCCCTCCTCAGTTATTTGCTAGAAAAAAAATAAAGAAATAAGATCATATAAACAAAACATCAGATATAAAGGACTAAAGCATGAAAATTGATGACTAACATCCCCAGTGAATTAAACCAGGGTATTGTCACAGTAACAACAGCAGGACGCCATGGGAGATCATGCAAAAGCCACATGCAAAGAAAGTCTGATTCATAAGGTCTATTTCCAGTCTTGGGGAAGCTTATATACCAACTTCTACAAGTATGGGTCTGTCAAGAATGTTCTGTCTGTTCTTCTCAGCCATCCTCTCTACAGAAAGAAGTTGACGGGACAGACCTGGATATTTTCACACTCGCAGACACACATCAGCACACTGGGGGCGGCTGACTCACTTCTCCCTGCCGACACTGGAACAACTTTCCGTCCGAGTCGAACTCCTGCATCACATCTTCTACTTTCATGCTGCTGTCTGAAGGAAGAAGCAAACAACAGCTGTGGTCTATAAACAGGCATGCTTTTCTTTTTTAATGAAACAGGATTACCTAAAAAGAAATCCATTGCTAAGAATTACGTACAGCTTAGTGCGTAAGACTGGTAAAAACAAATTTCTATGTTTGGTACATATAGGTTTGAATACATAACTATGGTATGACAGATTTCTATATTTAGTGTATATGTTGGCTTGTATACACAAAATCACAAAATTTGAAAAGTGAAGCGTGGAAGAGGATCCCTCAGAATCCCCCTCTGGTCACACACCACTCACATTCCATGTACTGCTGCAGCTGGATGAACTCCAGAGGGCGCAGGTCCTTTGCCTCATCGTCCGTCGAGGTGGACATGTTTTGCTGTAGACAAAAGCCCTGTTCACACCTGATATTAACATGTGACCCTCCCACAAGAGTACACCGCTAAATACGTCCGTTCACAGCCAGCACGAGCATGCGTCTCGCCTGACCGCCGATAATCGGATGTCACTTTTCCCACAACTTATTTAAATACCGTAAGCAAGTAAATCGCTTCCGTATGCAGAATCTGCCGAGGAGAAGAAGAAATCAAAAGGCATTTGCGCGTTTCAGGGTAAAGAAACCGCTTAAAATGTTTGTATGGAACGCCATAATAGGCCTACTCAAAATGAAATAAATAAAAATATCTATAAATAAATACATTAACAAATATTATAATGTGTAATGTGTCCTTTTATTTTTAAATGATTCTATATAATCTTTACACTGTATTTCGTAATAACGTTGTGATTTTCATTAGACAGTCATTATGAAATGTTCAGATAATGCAAATGTGATTACCTAAAAAATCAAATTACATGCATGCATATACAGATAAACGTTTTAAAAATATCTTTCAACACTAAGATACAGTTAGGGCAGGCTAATACTTTTTTATTCAAGGGCAAAGGGTTCTGTCTCTAATTCATTTTGTTGGTTGCGATATGGTAATATTTCTGGTATTGATCATATCCAATGAAGCTCAAAATTTGTGAAAATGTCAACGAAGATGTTAATTATTTTGTCTGATATGCTGAATTATACGTCTGAGCAAGTGAAGTAAAAGAAGCTAAGTAGTCAGGGACTGAATTTCTGACCGGGAGTTCAAGCCCCCGGACAGCTCAGTATAAAACCATATAAACAATGACACTGTTGTTATATGTTTCTATTAACATATCAATTTTCTAGGCTATTGATCATTTTACGTTCATTTATTTTTTTTTACTGGCACGGTTCACCAATATTAATAAAGCGTGGAGCAGCTTTGACATAAATGTCAAAGTTCGCATTAAATATGGTCTGTGCGAATTCCTGAACGTCTTTAATAAATCACTTCTTACAAAACTTATCAGCCTACACAATTTATTTTCCCGAATTTGCACGGAATATTAATGACATGCACTTTTGACAATGTTTCCATACGAATGGGTCGCTAAAGTCCGATATTGAACTTCCCAGCAGATTAAAACTTATTTTTCTTAGTTGTAGAAAAACAGATGCGTTGTTATTCACAATTCAGCTCACTACACAGGGGCCCATGATGCACTGACAGACTTCGTGACATAAATCACGTGTTAAGTACCGCAAGTGTGCTTAATGAGGACGTGCGCCCGCACGAGGACGTCAGCTGAGTAGGCGGACCTTAAATGCGGCCCAGGGCAGATATGCGTTCACCTTGGGATAAGAATTTGGCCATAATCGTCCCAGACTACCTCCAAATGTGGTTTATGCGATCTGATGTCAATGCGTCCTCAATCCGTTTTGGGTGCGTTCACACCTGTATTTAGCGCTGTTCACTTGTGATCGGATCACCCAGGACGCATATTAATACCAGGTGTGAACAGGGCCAAAGAGCAGGACCAGACATCAACAACGGGACCAACCGCCCCTAGGGTAGGCCACGCTTGGTGGGGATGCTGGCTGCAACAGGACTGATGGCATTCTCGGGAAGACGTGACAGAAGACGTTGCAAGCAGCCATCTCCATCGGTCATGCTCTGCTGTTTCATCCACCCATGAAATGGGTCACAACGATTTTTTGCAACTAAATATAAATTCTGCTTCCTGGTGAAAAATGCATATGGGTGCACTGAAAGTACACAGACTGCGTGCTAGTTTCACGAAAGCTTGATATGGCAAGTAATCCATGCAACCTTGCAGGAAGGATGGTCCTCAACATGACTTGTTCAGCTCTGACATCACTACACAACTGATGGCTCGAAAGAAAAATGTATGGGTTATACGCTAATCTGTCGGCCCCCTTCTCTGTATTTTTCCATCGATGCTCTGTGTACCCAGGCAATAATGTTCTAGGAATATTTTGAAAAAACAACAGACGCTACAAGAACAGATAAAATACAATAATAATCCATCCATCTATCCATCCATCTTTCCAATACAGGATTGTGGAGGAAAAAACAAACATGAATTGAATCATTCATAAAGCCTTATACTCACCTTTCCCCCTTTTCACTTTGTTATTTTCTGCCTTGTGATCCAGGCTGTATCCCAGTCTTGCACCCTATGCAACCTGGGATTGGCTCCACGTCCCACTATATCCCTGACCAGAGTAAGCAGCTGAAGAATGGATGGACAGCTGGATGGATGGATAGACGGAACAGTTTTTGGCAGGCCTCCGACTGGGACACCACAACAGAGCAAGCTGCCACTTACGGTATGAGGGGGCCTTAAGCAGACGCCCTACTGGAGCCAAGCAGGAAAGACGGAACTGAGTAGTTTTATACCACATGTAATGGTAAAACCATGCAGGGCGTTATAGTAAAAAAGGAGAACATTAATGGCGTTTCATTCTTTTGAAGGGAAGCTGGTGCAGTTCCCAAAGCATGGAACAAGTTATAGCAGATGTGAGACATGCAGGAAAGTCCTGGATCTGTTGTAACCTGTGGCAGGTGTGGAGGGGAATAGCTCAGCATTCCATTATTACTGCACTTGCAGCCAGAAGGCACCAAATCCTACATACAAAGACTGAACATTATAAAGGGAAAAAGAAAACCTGTAAAACAACTTTTTCTGTTTTGATTTTTGTATGGAAAAATATTATCAATGACAGGCTGCTATTGTTTAAAGTATTACGTCATAGCTTACTCCTACCCTCACCCCACGCCTGTCTAAAGTGAACATCATTCTTACACCTAGGTTGTTGAGGGGTTAAAGATTTTAAGGAAGGAAATATATATTTAGGATCAAGTATCCTAAACTTACAGATGAAGGTGTTTGCAACAAAAGTTAGAATTTAAAACTCTTGTCGTGTGTCCCTGCACACCTCCTCAGACTTGGAGGTTAGTTTAATTTCTTACGAAACTTAATAAGAAGCCACACCTTCTACCTGTTGATAAGATTGTTTTGGTCTGGTAGGGGACTAACGTTTTACAACAGCTGTAGTAAACGCTGAAAAGCCTGTCATATAACTGTGAGGCTAAGAAAACAACCGGCCAAACAGGTACGCGAGGAAAAAAGAAACGCAAATCCGCTTACATATCTTTTACAGAGTTGATCTTTCTCTGTTAATCACGGTTTGGCAAGAATCAGGACTAAGCACAGAGGAAATTGGTAACATTGGTTTAGCTGAGTTTTTATAGACCTCTGGAACCGCCACATGAATATGTAATACACGGCTTAGGAGTTCTGTGCGATATTATCTGCCTGTTTTTGTTTCACCTTAAGAATAAGACGCTATGAGTCATACTGGGTGACCCACACAAAGAGTAGAAACTACCTGGCCACTGTCGACTGAAATAAAATAGACTGAATTAGTATGTAAAAGGTTTCAGATGTCATGATAAACTAGCAAAAAGGGGTCGATCGTCTCCTCCTGTTTGTAGCCATCTCTTATGGCATATATATCGCAACAGATTTTCTGTGGTCGCCTGGATAATCTTGTCTGTTAACAGTGCTGGTAAAACTTATCCTAAAATTTATGCTAGTAACAACTAGGGCGGTTTGCAAAAGATTTGTTTTCCCTTCATCTAATCAAAGTACACTCTACAAGTTGTGTTGCTGCCGGTTTTTAAAAACGGACAATAGTTTGCTTGGCAAAAACTTCGAGAGCTTAGATTCCTGGCATTTCCAGGAATGGATAATAGATAAATGGATAATATGCATTTTATGTCCTTTTCAGGAACCCACAAGCAAACAGGGACATACAGCGAGGTGCTGGGAAACAGCTCAGCCCACATGCGCAACAAACCCAAGCGAGGTGAAGAAAAACCTTACCAAATGTAAACATGTATTCCTATATCTTACGTGGGAACCTGCATTCAACAGATCAGCTTTACATAGTAGTTATTTTTAGCATGCAAACAACATTGGATTTATTTTTTAAAGTTCAGACGATAGCCTAACTATTTAACAACAGCCCCTGACGTAAAACTAATACAGAACGTTTAACAGGACGGATTTACCTTGTATCGCCGGGTGTTCGATAGCGAGTGAACGTGAGAAAGAAAAAAAAGTCACGACGGCAAGAGAGAAAAGGATCTGGGCGGGCTTGGTCGCGACTGCTTTGACTTGATTTGCCGGATCCAGGAGGAAAGCAAGAGAACCGTGACTTACAGTAATACGCCCAAATCTGCGTCTCCTGGGACTGTCCTTTGGTTCGACGCGCACTTCAAACTCGTCTCCTTTTCTTGTCCTGTCAGCAATGGCGATTTTAAGCTTAACAAGGCTGCATTTAGATACGGACATGGAGCTTGCTACATTGCCAATATTCAGCTGCACTGCAAACCGAACCGACACATTTCGAAACTACGGATTTCTGCGGCCCGATCTAGCCGCTCTTCCCCGGGCTTACTGAGCTTTTTCTTGACATCAGGCGACTGACACATAATGACGCATCGAAATTTTACACTTGGGACATTCGAGTAAGACGATTATTTTTATTTCACAATGTTTATCTATTTATGCTTTATATGTGCTTTGCTACATACCCAATGTCCTCTCATTACTTCCACAAGCAAATTATATGAACCTAATACTCTCCTGCGAAAATCTCATTGCAGTAGTACTGTATAATATTTAATACAAAAGACAAAAATCAAACTCCAGATCGGTACGTCTATTGCCATTTTAATTAAATAATAAAAAAAAAACACAAACACCAGTAATCTGCTGCTGAAACAAACACAAAGAAAGGTACATGAGGAGATTTTGGTTGAAAGTGCTTTTCATTATTTATAATATCCATTATATTTACATACTTCAAAAATAAAATTCAGACAAATTTAGAATAAATCTTTCCTCACTTAAGTGCTTCTTCCGGAACAGAAGTTCAGGTGTAATAAACAGGACTATTGCCACAGTTCAGACCTACACATGATCAGCCACGACACGGTTGCTTCGTGCATTACATATATCCCATCTTGTGGAAGAAACAGAAAAGACTAACTTTCCAGTTCACAGAATTCAGTCCTTTTCAAAGAGTAACACTCTCCACTGGGAGAGGAGATACGTCTGCATCATGTGGTCGACTACAGCATTATTTACAACACTGAACTAGGGGCTGCAGCCAACCAGTTCTCCCAATCATCTCTATAGATACATGCCTACTTTATACTGCACTGAACGAAACAGCTTGAAACACTGTACTCTAAAAGAAGGGCCCAAACAAAAATCGGTAAACCTAATGGCCATGCAGAACCAGAAAACTGGAATAAGAACATTGCTTCTCAGCAGCACGTCCGTCTGTCTGGTTATCATCAAACATCTTTAGGAGTTCATGGGTTACTATGCAAGCAGGATGTTGTCCTAACTCTGTACAAGCTGCACCACATTGTACTAATCCTAATGTTGAACAAGTAACCACCAAAGAAAGATATAACCACGTTAAAGAAAAACAAACAAGCATAAACACAGAATGCAAGACAAGACTGATGTTCCTGGTGTACATGTGATATTTTGTCTGCCCTAGAGTCGAGCTCACCATTAGGAAACCTTCATTCGAATTTCAACACAGAAAGTCAACTGTTTCACCACTGCTGTCACTGTTGTACATACTTTGGTAGCAGGAAATAAAAAAAAAGTACATGATAGAATATTACCAGTTATATACAGCACACCAATACACACAAAAGTAAACTTTCTTCCTAGAGATAAATTACGCAGTCCAAATTATACACATTACACACTAAACAGGTAGTTGCCTTTGAGAGGGTAACAAAAGTCACACACAGATCACAACAGTATTCAAAGGAAAAGGTTACGAAAAATAATTTGAGAGACTATGATCGGTGAAGTGAGAAGCAGCACAATATGTCAGCAACCACGTTGGTTTTTCAGACTTTTCTAGTATTCATGACTGTGGGAACAAAGAAAAGCCATTGTAGTCTGACTGGGAGCATATGAGCCACCAGTTCCGAGTGAAAGGGCTCCTTTACATGCCATATTGTGTCCGAAATCCCATAGAATTGAGGTGCACCAGTGTAAATTTTGCTAAATTGACAGAAAAACCTTGACAACTGATTGACGCAGGGTGGTTCCACAGTTGTTGTAATTCCGGGTAGTACACACTTTGGGAACCAAGTACATTTTCAAGGCAGGGAATCCCAAAACAATCCAGATAATAATGGAGAGCAAAATCACAAGTCTTTATTGGTCCAGCTGACACTCATCACAGCTTGACCGTCAGTTCAAAAGCACAGTGGTCTCCCAGCTAACACGTTACCTACACAGAAGCCTTTGCAGAGCTGGGATTGGGGCATCAGACAAGAAGACTGCACACGGTCTTCCTCAGCTGCAGTCTACAAACGGAACAGATGAGTGCTTCTGCATTAACTTCCAATGAGGTGAGCTGATGTGGAAACGGCTAGGGGTCCTGAGCTTTGCAACGTTTAGAGGTAATTATGGCCGGCTAAAGTGGGAAATAATGTGGAACTACTTATTCCAAGCTACTCATGAAAATCGGGAGGTGTGACAGCATTAAAATTACGAAACGCATCATTTATTATATACTAAATCTAAATCATATTCTCTGTTTATATTATTTATAGTTATATAAATACCTTTTCAGCAGACGTCTGCATGATTGGAAGCAACTAGGGGAAGGAATTAACCTTAGGTTTTATTTTGCCTTTCGAAGCCTCTACGTCAGCAGAGCCCAAGGCAATACCAGGGCTGGCATACTAAAGTACGATTCTGTCTCATTCAGTGACACCGTTCTACAGCTGCACATCTCCTGACCGTTGGTAGTGTTTACGGACCATAGATACACATTTTCCTCCCTGGTCCATCTGCTTGACTGTCCACGTAAGGCAGGGAAAGCTACGGGGCTGGTGGTCATCTGCTTCCCAGGAATGGTTACGCATTTTTAAAGAGCCCTCTCCTCCAATGGACATTTATGCAGCATATATAGGAATGGGGGGGGGGGGGCAGATGTGTAGGCAAAAATGAGGTTTAGAGGTGGCCAGAGTCCAAACTGATGTGCACTCCATGTAGGCGTCCACACCACATCACTTCCAGGCTCACTGCTCCTCTCCTTCATTACAAGATCTCCTCCACTCCGTGGGCGAAGATCATGACCAGGCCCGGCTCCAGGATCATGTCCTCGCCCATGTGCTGGTTCTCGCAGGCCATCACCACCACCGCCTGCTTGCCCGGGATGCGCTTCGCCACATAGTTCTCGTAGTAGCGCCGGTTCATCTGCCGCGTCTCCAGCGTGGCCAGGCCCTGCGGCCAGCTGCGCTCGTGGGCGTTCTCGATCAGGTCGTTGACGATGGACAGCGGGCAGCCGCTATCGATCAGCGAACGCTTGATCACCGCCTGCAGCACGGCGTCTGGCGTGGAGATCATTCCACCCCAGCGAGTAACACGGGCCGGCTGGAGGGAGTTCACCCACCTGGGAAAAAAGGTTAGAGCATAGAAAGCAGATGAGGAGGGGAAGGGTTACGTCACACATTGCCTAGGTGCAGATAACCCACCATTATGAATATACATTCTTTAAGATGCTGTACCAGGCTGGCAAAATGTTGCAACTCGGCAAACCATCGCTAGCTTTGTAGCGTTGGAACTGCAGTAAAGGATATCAGAAATGTGCAAATTATAAAGGTAGAGCCCCCACTCAAAAGTGGTGAACAAATTGTTTAAAGAATATTGACAGTATTGCATTCTGTTGTAAAGGAAATATATGTCCTATTGTAACCTGTGATTTATGACATGCCATTACATAAATGTTTTATCTTAACCTGTGATGTGCAAGGAGGTTCCTGACATCAGCTGGAGGATGAGGAAGTGCATGAGAACATTGGAAGGTTACCATCACTGGCGAGGAATGACAGAATGATGTGTAACTATTTAACAAATTAAGCAAAACTTAAGGCGAGTTCAGAGACTGAAACCATGTTGACAGCAACAGCAAAGTGTTGGTTGTAAGTGTGTACAGGATAGGAAGTGCCCTTCTGTTTGAAGATGCTTGATGACCGTCTGAAAGTGCTTCCCGATACTGCAGTAAATAGACGCAGAACCTCTCGCTAGAGCAGCACGCAAGACTGCAAGGTACTCACTCCACGATTTCGTTGTACTCTATGGTCTCTTCCAGGTTCTGCAGATTGGGGTTGGCACTGCGTATGGCTCGCATGTAGGCCTTCAGCAGCTGAATGTCCCGTTTCTGCCAGGAGAATAGTAAACAGTGATGCACAGAGATATGACCCAAATTATAATCACACTATCCCTGTCACATTTAACACTTCCAGTGGAATGATGACATAACCAAACAGAATATTAACCACAGGGTATTATCCTTTAAGATTAAGGTATCATTAAAAGTCTAGATTTTGGTACACACATGTTCAGACATTAGCAGCCTAATTTGGCAAGTGAAAGATTCACACATCTTGGTGACAGTGGGGTGCCCCACCCCCTGCATTGAGAGATCAGCATCACTTAATCCAATTCACAGGTGTCTACACCGTATGCTTGTGATGCCTTCCGATGCCGACCAGCGGGTGCATTGATGTGTAAAGAACGTGGGCAAGCGGAGGCCATGTTATCTGCCAATACGTCCCTTTCCCCATCTGTTCTCCAGACTATCCAATAGAACAGGGGTGGCCAATCTTATCCGCAAAGGGCCGGTGTGTATGCAGGTTTTTGGGATAACCTGTAGGTCAGCTGTTCAAACCCAGGTGTGAGGACTCTTCAGCCAATCAGTCCTCTAATTAGTAATCTAATTAGGGAGTTGCAGTGAAAACCCGCATACACACCGGGCCTTTGCGGATAAGATTGGCCACCCCTGCAATAGAAGGTGCAATAGAAGGTGCCAAGCATTACTTTACGGTCTATAAAATGTTAAATATTTCATGAAGGAAAATATTACAGGTAAGACCAAACACCAATGTTTGGTCTTTATCTGCCATGTTCAGCAGACCTTTGCTGCCTTCTCATTTAGAGCCTCTTGGAAGAGCATGGCACCCTAAGGCAGTGTTCCTCAACCCAGTCCTCGGGGAATCCCGGCCAGTCCATGTTTTTGCTTTCTCTCAGCTCCCAGCGTACCAGGTATTCTGTGTTCCTGATTGGCTTGGAGCTGAGAGGAAGCAAAAACGTGGACTGTCTGGGGTTCCCCGAGGACTGGGTTGGGAAACACTGCCCTATGGGAATCTAAACAGGGTTCTGCACACCCTCTGACAGAGCGGGAGGCGGCTTGTAGAGCACCATGGACCCCCCCCTCCCCACCCCGAACCTCAGACCTGCTCGGCGAGCTGGTGCTTATGCTCAGCCGCCGTCTTCTCCAGCTCGGCGATCTTGGTCTGCTGCTGCTGCACCACACCACGCAGGTGCCTGATGCAGTTGTGGTTCGGCAACTCGTCCTTGGGCATCTCAAGCCTGGGTTGGGGGGAGGGGGTAGAACCATAATTATGAAGCCGCATCTGATTCAGGATAGCCTGTCCTGTGCTGTAATACAAGAGGAGTCCCCATGAACACTAAAGGGTCTGTGTTTCACTGAGTGAGCGAGCATGGTGTGTGTGTCCATTATAGAGCAGTAGGGAAAACCAAGTAAACAGCATCTCAAAGAATAAGGCCTAACCATTGTGAAAAGAATTTTCCAAAGTAGGGAAAAAAAATTAATGTGCGTGTCATTCTTAACCAAATTAACTTTCATGGAACAATACAAAGTCCAGAATATTAGATTCCACAGCATCTCAAGCCTGCCTCATGTGATCAATAAGATGATCTTATAAAGACTAGATGGAACAAAATGCACCGGTAAACAAAAAAAAAAACAAAAAGATTTTTCTGAAATTTGTTATTTTGGACGAGTGTAATGCACATCTAATTTGTGGCAGATTTGCAGAGATGCCAGAATAATTTAGTCACTTCTTTTCATGTTCACAAGGTGACTGTGGTTATTGACCCAAATAACGAATTCATTCAGGGTCCCGGGAAACACCACAGGGAATTCCAAATTGTTACAAGAGTAATGAGGACAGGAAAATTCGAACGGGGTTTTAGGCGAATTCTCGCCGCTGTTCCCCGTTTTAGTTTACAAACGTGTCTCTGACGTGCGAGTGCTCGCAGATAATGCTACCATGCGTGACAAACGAGAGCGCCCTTTGAACTTGTGATGTATATCATGGGGGAGATGTTTAAGAGGGAGAATACAAAAATAGACAAATGGACAATAATCACACCAGCATTAATGTAATGCTAGGTAACACTTCTGATTACACAATAATTACTAACTAGTGTTTATGTTCTATGCCAGCATGATGGCTCAGTAGGTAGCACTGTTCCTGCAAATCTCTGGAATTGTAGGCTTGATGCCCACCTACACTCTGCGTGTGGATTTTGTATGTTTGCCCCGTTTTAACACAGGACACCTCTCACAAAGTCATGCAGGGAGCCAAATTAGTATCTCTAAAAATTTGTCTGTAGAGTGCGTGTATGTGTGCGTGCGTATACACACACACACAAGGACTGGCATCCCATCCAGGGAACACTCCGGCTCTGTGATGCCTGGAGCAGGCTCTAGGTGTCGGAGCCGTCACTCCAAGCAAGCAATTGGAAGAGGGATGCAATGATTAACAATTAGTACCTTAAAACAAAGGAGGGATTTATAAGGAGCGTGGGACAGAAAGCCCTCAGACTTCTGCTGACATCACAGATGGGCAATCAGTTGTTTTAATAACGTGGGAATTCAACAAAGGGGTGTCCTGGGAGAGGTGTGTGACGTGTGTGACCCCCCAGCAGAGCAGAGGGATGTGGGGCCGCTCACCCGCAGCCCTGCTCGCACATCACAGGCCTCTTGGGGTTGTGCTCGCAGTCCTTCAGGTGCGACTGCAGCTGGTCGAGGCGCAGCACGGCTGTGCAGCCGAAGGCGGCGTTGTCGCAGGTTATCTGCAGCTTGGACAGCATGTTGCGCATGATGCGAGGCACAGGCCGCAGGTGAGCCAGTGTGACCACGGTGCGGTCCACAGGACAGATCTGCTGCTGGGAGAACCACTGGGTGATGCAGGCATTGCAGAAGGCATGCTCACAGTGAGGAGCCTGTGGGGAGGAGGAAACTCACAAAATTACAGCAAACAGTTTCTGCGACGGAGTAAATGCACATTTTATTTATACCTCTTGTAGGCTCATAGTTGGCCTTTATTGGCCTGCAGATGTCTTTGTAAAAGTGTCCATAAGCAGTCATTACAATTAATTTTCAAATTAATTTTTTTTCGTACAAAATTAGTATGTATATACAGTGGTACCTCGGTTCTCAAACTTAATCCGTTCTGGACTCTGGATCGAATCCTAAAAAGTTTGAGTTCTGATCAAATTTTTCCCATAAGAAATAATGGGAAACCAATTAATTGGTTCCCGGCCCCCCAAAAATTACACCTAAATGTTTTTTTTTTGTTAGCATTTAAAAAAAATGAACAGGATAAAACAAGAGCAGCATTTTTTTTCTTAATGGCTTCCAAAATGATAAAGATCTGATCCCAACATTACCCCTGTCCTGCCCCGATCGTCCGCTCCTTCCGTGTGCCACGCCCCCTCGTTAACCTCCTGTGGGATCCCCATGTGATCAGCCGTTTCTGGTTGTTGTCATTAGTCCTCTGTATTAAGTCCACGTTTCAGTTTGTTTCCCCAGTCCGGTCATTGGGCGCTGGCTTAAAGCAACGCATTCTGATCCTGACGCAATGCATTACAGTTAGATGTATTGCGACCTCTCACCCGGCTGCACAAACTGGAACTGCCACCGTGACGAATTGATCCATTGGGCTATATATATATATATATATACACACACACACACACACACACACACACATATACACACACAAACATCATGCGTGTAACTAAACTCTTCAGCCAATAAGGGCAATATATATATAAAATCCACTGGATCCAAGCCCCTCCCCTGTAAATTCTAGTCTTCATTTGACTAGCTGAAGAACTGCATTTAAGGTTTTAACACCACATACCAAATAAGAATATAACCCAGCAGATGCCTGCACTGTGATGACGCTTTAATTCACAACGTTACTGAGCCTGACCGGTTTGAGAAGTTGCCTGCAGCACGTCTGATTAAAGGGTGGCCCTGAGGGATTATAAATCAACTCAGCCCTTATGAAAGTCTGAGAGATCTAGTACTCTGTGTAAACATGCACAGGTTTGCATAAACAATGTTACAGAAAATAATTTTAAAAACTATATTTAGACTCCTTCCCATGACTTCTACCAAGTTTTACGTTGCAGTCATTCACATCATTCCTCGGCTGAAAACAAAGCAACTAAAGATATTCCGGTGACTAAATAGAAGATGCACGATACACAGTCCTACAGTAAAACAGCATAATAGTTGCCTTGTAGGTTATGCTTGGTTTCCTACATCATAGCCCCCCCCCCCCACTCCAAAAACCGAGCAGGAGACATCGGCTCTTGTATCACTGCCAACTCGATGCGCAAAGTAGCCAAACCCACCGGCTGGTAAAGGCACAGTGAGAGATCATGTCTAATAACCCCATCATGTGCCTGCAGCAGCAGATACATGGCTACCCAAACACACAGGCGTACAAGCAAGAGTTCCGGGATCTACATGTCCGAAAGAAGCATAGAGCAGCGACGGACGTTTTAACAATATTGTGACACGTGCAGACATGACACACACACACTCACCGGTTCAGGAGGGGCTTAACATAATCAGACACAGAATGGAGGAAAACCGAGTCCCTGCAGCGAAGGGAAGTCCTGACACTCCCATGACCGACACTCCATGCAGATCTTTGTGCACAAAGATGACATTACGCGGGACAGACCAGCCAACATCACTGCATATCTTCACAGAGATGTAAACAGTGCACACGACACAGCGTCCTCTCTCTATTACAGCTTCCCAGAAAAAGCAGCTGCTTCCAGGGTATCTCCCCCCAACCCCCCTCTCCTCAGCCAGCTCCGTCTCCTGCTCCAGCACCCCACCCCCACCTTGCCTGAAATAGGCTCAGTTCCAGCTGTCCACTTTTGCACTATGCGGGTTCTTGCCTGCCAGTTACTACAGAATTTGAGTTCACATTTGGATCGCACAGAGAAGGTAATCACAATGCCATTTTCAGAGTGTCAAATGGAGGGGGAACAATCTGACATTGGCAAAGGCTGCAACATAGAATTTATGACTTGTGTCCTTGGACACAAGAACACCAAAGGGATTCTGGGAGATGTAGTACAACATCAAATTTCCCCCCTTCCCAGGCCTTGAAATATCCACATGAGATTAACAGAATTCAGTTACAGTGAACTGTGTTATAGCAATCAGACTGCTTCCTACTAGTCACAATTTATCTACATCTGATTTCCTCCCAGCTAAATCCTTCTCTGGAGGGTCCCAAAGAGACACATCAATGCAGACTGGCATTTTCATCAGCTGGAAGCAGTTTTTTCTCCCCCTCTGACTCTGAGTCACAGCTTCTGCTCTGCTGGGTTAGCCCAAAAAGAGGATATCATTCCTTGAGGCTGAATCTTTCACTCCCAGAATCCTTCAGGACAGAATACCTACATCAACACCAAGAAATGAAGGTGCCAAGGACTACTGCAGGGCTATACTCTCAGATCACTCCTAAACTAAAGCCAGGCACTGCAGCTACAACCAATCAAAAAACTAAATCCCTCTTTCCTGATTGGGTTTGGTAGGACCTTCAAGGATGTGGCCCCCTGTTACGCAAATGAAGTCACTGACGCACAAACTGGAATAGTTTTCCCAGGTGAATTCTTCTGGATATCATATGACAATAGAGCAATGATGCTTCAATTTAAACGGCCCTAAGCTCCAGAAAAAGCCAGCCATCATTTGACATGGAGCTCTTTATATCCAAAATGAAGTCTTTGTATTTTAACATAGCCTATTCCTATTAAAACACTGCTTTGACTGCTGCGGTTTATTGGCTCACTGGATGATACTCATCTGTTGCATGGCATTCAGACACTGATTTCTACTCTCATCTCCGGCACCCCCTGCCAGGGTTAATCCTAGAAAGCCTTTTGACTCATCCATCACCCCAGACAGCTAACCGAGCACAGAGCATTTCGCTTTTCAAAAGGTCTGAAGCGACCAGGTTTGCTCCTCACAGTGCTGCTCACACAGTTGTTTCCTTTTCCCTCCCTTACTTTACCTACTCTTACCTACATTCCCTCTGGTGTCTTCTGGATCCTCACCCAGAAATGGTGCTTTCAACCATATAACACTAATCATTTGTGTCCACTGCCCCAAATCTACTTCTCCTGATTTTGATGAATGTTACATAAAGTGCTTTTGAGGGACTTTAGGAAAGGGCACTACATAAAAATTGACAGAACAGCAGCAGAAGCATCAACAGAATAGAAAAAAAAAAATAAAAAATAAAAAACTGCTGACCTGCACAGGTTCTTCTAAAACTCCACTACATATGGGACACAGCAGATCCTCATCCACTTCCCCCTGGAACCTGGTGACCTCGTAGCCCATGGCACATTACTGGAGCCACCCAGACCTAGAGAGTGGTAAATAATGAACATTATTGAATATACATCACTTGCAAGATTTCTACCTATTCAGCTTCATTACCAAAGACAAACAGGCTTTCTTCATATGTGTATATGCACTGATACTATAAGGTCTATTACTGTATTGGAGATCTTGTATGTTCACTTTTTGGGGCATTCAATTAAAAATACTGGCAATCTGATACTTTGCAGAGTCTAGTTCATCACTGCAATTTAAGACATAACGTCAATCAAAATTCTAGAAAGGGGCACTTTCGTCACAAATTAAATCCTTAACTATAGAGTACCTGATTCCTTAATATCAACATGAGGAAGTCATTATGATCAAACTTTTTTTTATTTGCCAGATTCAATTGACTGACTGGCCTAAATTGCGCCGACCCCAAGTTTGGCTCTCTATATACATGTGTGTATGTCTCAATGGAAAGCAAGATGTAATAGATGAGTGTACTAACATTAGTGCAAAAAGCAAATAAAGGACACTTTCATTTAGTCATTTCTATCAGATAGGAGACGAAAAAAGTATGCATGTCTTCTTGTGCATTAGTCATAATGTACACAGAAGACGAATCTGTAAGCATGCACTCAAGTAATGTGCTGCCAACCACAACTACAGAAATTTTGTTTAATAGAAATTAATAGTTATCCACATACTGTTATTGTAGAGATAGGGCATTTAAAACGTATTGGCAAAAATCTACAGGGAAAATTACACAACCAGGTAAACCAAAACAAATGGATCTCCATAATAAATTAAATTAAAAATATGACTTGTTTAGCATTTGGGAAAGGGGTCTATATGTAGATGCAAATTACTTTGACAAAACTACATAACTTGCCAATTTTAAATATTTGGCTTAATTGTGTAACAAACATGAAGAAAAAGGACAACTCCTAACCCTACACACAGCGCACGTCTTTACCTTACTCACATGTGGTTTTCATGTCTTGGGCGGTGTGGGCCCCAATGTCTCTCCTGGGTCTTACGAACCGCCACAGTCCAAGTGGAATTGATACAAAGACAGAGACTGGTCACGACACGTGTGCGCCTAAATGACTGCATGACAAAAATCCATTGGGCTTGTATTAATAATAAAGAAGGATGGTACTGAGCACAAGACCAGATTTCCTTTCTGACATGGATTTATCGTAGCAAGACCAATCTACTTGAAGATGAAACCAGCTTCACATTACACGACAAAAATACGTACACAGCTAACAGTATATAGTATGACCAAAGACATTTACTAAACCAGTTCAAAGTCGAGGAATGAACACTCGACAAAAGATATGAGTTACAAAAAAAAACCCTAACTAAAACTACAAAACTGCACAGAGTGTAGAGGAATAGACAGAGTTGAAACATTTAAAATATTTTGCCAAGATTGGATCATATATTCAGTAGTCGTTTCACGGAAAACTAACAGACCCGGCACATGTTCGCTAAATAATTGATCACATCGACGACGATGATGATAATCTGGGCATTTTTTATGTAGCATAAGTATTGTGAACATCATCAGAAATAAAAGCACAGCTTCGGTCATTAATGGCTGGTTACTGATATCACTCATGATATTTCCTGTATTGCTAATCTAACAGCACAACGCGACAATGCCAACCCTTTATCAACTAAAATATTTTTGTACATTTTCCCAAGTAATACGCTGCCTTTAAACGCCCCGGTAGCGGAAGGCTCGTTTAAAGGTGGACGGCGCAAAGGTAGACGATGCTCAGGCTGCATGTCGCGGTCTGCTACACTCGTACCGGTCCCCAAAACAGAGTTACCTTTAATCAGCGGACAGCTTTCATACAATTTGGCTTTCATTTCTTTTTTTTTATTCCGATTTAAAGTGCCGAGGCCCGGACTCACTTCACCGGCTAAACGATATTTACCCGGCTAGCCAGCGTCTTCCGTGCCTCAAACCATCCTGAGACCCCTTGCTTTTACGAAAACCAATAAAATACAGTAGTAACATTCAAAGACATCCATAAACCCACAGTACCAATGGAATATGTAAAACTAACCTATTTTAAAGTACAAAAACAAATACCTGTTTTAAAAGGTTGCGTTTTAAACACTAACAGCTGTCCGAACACGTTAGCCAAATACCCAATTTATCCATCTCCCCCCTCAGCCAGTCAGTGCGCCGCGAGCCCACCTCTGCTGCTCAAATCCCGAGTCAAATACATGATTGACAGCTCACTGCACCTATCATTATTGACAGTTTTTTTTTCATTATTTACAGAGAATGTTTAAACCAATCAGATGTAAACGACTGTTCCGTACACAGAGGGGTGAGAGCCCCCGTTGAAGAGGGAAGGCCAGTCAGAGACAGGTTTCTCATTGGTCAATTCGATACGGTGTCATCAACACTCTTCCAATCGCTGCTCAGTCACGCTTCTTATGTTCTTGCAGTATTCACTCGTTTCCCGCAGATTTCGTCATTGCAATTGCCTTCTTGGTCAATGGAGAGAAGTTATATTATTGACCTGTATTTGTTTTACTGTCTTGTCATATTTGGATGACATTTCAAAAACTATTGGCAGCATTACACATCTGACATGTATGGTATACAAACCTTCATGCATTATTAGTACACCTTCGAATAATAACAAATATAACAAAATGCATTACCAGACATATATACATACAAACTTTTTAGCAGATAACGAAAAATACATAATTATCAACACCATACAATCTTGCATTCAGTGGATCCAAAATACTGTCGGCATTAAACATCCATATATCTGAAATATCTTTTTCGTAACATTGTGACACATCATGAGCAATTATTTTTAAGTCCATAGTCACTTAAAGGATCACGGGAAGAATATGATTATGGCTTATCCCAGACAGCACAGGGCACGAGGCAGGAGAACACTGTAATGGATAAACGTCTATCGAAGGGTACACAAACTACGGGAAACATTCACAACATGGAGATGGCATACACACGGAGCCATCTTTAGTTATGTACATTTAATTAGTCACCACTATTTCAACAGTATGCACCAGGTAAACGAACATTTAATTTCTAATAAATGTAATACTAACAACATTTCTTTATGAGCAACTGAAAGCGGTAGTTAAACGCGCATTCATCACAGTCCACAACCGCTTCGCACTGTGCAATTATTATCAGCAGTGCGCGCGAATCAGTGACGCCAGTATCGCGCGTCACCTCCTGCATCCCGCGGCCCCGCTCTGCTCGCTCCCGTCTCCAAATGTCATTGGATAGACGATGCGTAGCTCAGAGAATCGGGAGGCGGGGTCGTTCTGCTCGCCTTTTGCGCGTCCTGGGGAGCACGGGGGAGTGCCCAGAAAAAACGCGACATTTCGCTCGGGAAATAGTGTCCCCTGGGTTTCAGCTGGTCCCTCCGATGGGTCTGAGCTCCCAACTGCACAGCGACAACCTGGACAACCGTGCTGCCTTACTATTAGAGGAGCAGGAGTAAACAAGGATAGGTGGGTTTAAACAGCCTGCCAACTAGCTGGGTCCCGACCCTGCGTTTAGTTAACCAGCTTCCTTGACTGATAAGTGGCTTCGGGCTACTAGTCGCTGCTAAACCCAGCAGAAACGTAACAGCCTAGTCAGCATCGCTGCCAGACTAGACGGGCAGGGTTTTCGAGCAGCATGAATTTTTAAAATTCCGCATGACTATATAATTTTAAGGTTAACTTTTATTACTGGTATTACTAGGAAGTTTGCATGCACTAGTTGGCTCTGTGGTGTTTTGTAAGATAACCTGTTGGGTGTTTGGAGTTACTTATTTTTATACAGCGCTGGGCGCATGAATGACACGGACGGTTTAACTGCTGGACATGTTCCATTAATGCTGCCTTCTGTCAGAAGGTTTAGGTCTGGTGGCCGTGGGCACCTGAGCACCGATAAAGCCTGGGTTTAACACCGAGAAAGACCTGAAAGATGACGACGGAAACCCACGTAAAGGACATCAAACCGGGACTGAAGAACCTCAACGTCATCTTTATCGTTCTGGAGACAGGTGTTTGGTTATTTACTTTTCTAAAATGTTGACATCCTAACTTCTAATCATTTCTGCAAGACCTGAAAACATAACAATATATGCAATCTAGTGTGCAACGGTTCTATGCGGTTTCATCTGTTCGATTGCAGTTAAATTATATTTAGAATGAGCTGAGCCTAGAACTTAGAGCTTAGAACTAGTTTACTCTCCAGGTACCATTGTTTGTGTTTAAGTTAAATGGTCAGGCGTCGGGTGTGTTAGAAGTGTGTGCACTTTATGGAATTAAGTCTAATAATCATCATTTTTGATTAATTGGTGTCACAACTGGCTGTGTCCTGTCATCATCTGTCCTGGAAAGGCCGCGTGACTAAGACGAAGGATGGACATGAGGTGCGCACCTGCAAGGTGGCAGACAAAACGGGAAGCATAAGCATCTCTGTGTGGGATGAGGTTGGGGGCCTGATCCAGACTGGCGACATCATCCGGCTCACAAAAGGGTTAGTCAGTCGCTGTTATGTGCTGCCATATTTTGGTCACAAAAATTAACTATTAACATTTTCTGAAAGTTTTGTGTTTTAAAATGACAGATGGTGGTAAAGTTGAAAGTTTCAATTGTTTGTGAATCCGCTGGAATGAAAAAGGCTGGTAGATGCATAGTGTATTTAAGTGGATGAACCAATGTTTTAAAAGGTTTAAAATAAAATATTTTTGAAAAGTGTTTTGTGGAAATTGGGTATTGAATGATTTATTAACAACCCTGTAATGGTGAACACTTGTCCTGTCAAGGGTCATAGACATTATTAAAATAATAATAATAATAAAATATAAGGTAAGCTAGGGCTATGTATTGGACATTTTTCCAACAGCTTCATTAACCGCAATCTACAACAATATTGCTTTACATTTATTATATCTATTAAAATGGCCAAATTTTCTTTCATTAATTTTCAGATATGCTTCTGTATTCAAAGGCTGTTTGACTCTGTATACTGGCAGAGGTGGGGAGCTACAGAAGATTGGAGAGTAAGTCCTGCACTGACATTTCAGTTTGCATGGTGCAGCTTCTGTCCTAATTGTACCACGTACTGAAATCTCACGTAAACTGAATCTCATTGTTCGGTTTTCATTTCAGTGATGCTGCTTCCTTGTTGGTCATTTATTTTTCTTAACTTTCTAATCTGTAATTCGATGCTTAGAATTTACCATGTTTATGAACCTCTAGGCGAAAACATTTTTTGAAAAATCTATTAAAGACACATTTTATTTTGTAAGGGAATTTATTTGTGTAGTAACTTGTGTGTAGTAACATTTTATTTGAAGCATTACTAAGCATTGTGATTGTAATATTGATGTCAGTATGATGTGACCCCGCCCACTTTTTACTCCTTACTCGTAATGTGACACGTAGGTTCTGCATGGTTTACTCCGAGGTCCCAAACTTCAGTGAACCCAACCCTGAATATTTGGCCTTAGCGAATAAGACGGTAAGTTTTTGTTTATTTTCTCTGTGTTACGGTAATAACCTGCTTAGCCAATGGAGAACCTTAGATTCAAACGAGCTAGGGATTTGAAGAAGGTGTTAGGGGAGATAAACATTTAACCTTAAAAAGGTCATTCTCTTACATTTTTTTAGTTAATAAATCATCCCAAAAGGGTTTTCAAGAAACCACTTTAGTTTCAAATGTGTTTTGAACAAACTGAAACAGTAATGGGCAGTTTGGGTGCAAAAAATGCTCACAATGTTTTATTTTGTTAATTTGTGTGATTTTTGTCCCTTTACATCATCTTGGCCTGTGTTTCAGAGTAAATCTGTATCTAATTGTCTCAGACGTGCAGGATTGTGAATCTCCACCAATTGCTCTTGACGTCAAGGTAGTTGAGAGGAGTTTGTGTTTGTCATTTTTGATGGGATGATGGTAGATGTTCCTCTGGCACAGGTCCTCAATGACCAGTCCAGTACAGTCCTCAGTAACAATGGCGCTCCAGCTGGCACGTCAGGTGAGTATGTGCTTCAGTGACATTGGTATGGTTTTTATGTTCTTTAATTTAGGCTGGCAGATATTCATGCTAAGAGTATTATAGTATGTTTGCAGCAACCTAGAATGTTATCTGGCGTGAAAAATCTGTTTTGTGTTAGTGCAATAAATGCTGCTTCAGAAATGGGTTTAATTAGCATTTTCCAACAGGGAGTGAAACGACTAATGGGAATGGGGAAGGCGCCCCAGTTCCTAGCAGCTCAGGCAATAACCAGCAAGGAGGGCGTGGAGGAGGTGGTACCAGAGGCTCAGCCAGTCAGGGAGCAGGAGGGACAGGTGTCAGCAATGGGAAGGAGACCCGGCGTTCTGCTAAGAGATAAGCTGGCAGAGAGAAGAATAGAATCCCCCACCTTCCACCCCCCCTCCACCCTCCCCCCTCCGACCTTCAGACCAAAAACAGAGCAGGCTAATTTGTGCCACTAAAGACTTTTATGTGTACTCTGTTGCCCAGCTACTACTTCCATGTTAATAACCATCATCCATTTCAGTGCAATGTTTATACATTTTGCCCTTGAATCTGACCCTGGATCAGCTTGATAATTTAACTGAGTAAAGAGAACAAGCGGATTCTGTATCAGCTGCTTTTGGTACAAACTGTTCTGGGCACTCAGTTCACTTCTAAGGAATATGAGGTATAAGGCTTACAGGTCGTCATCCTAATTGCGCCTCACTAGAATATTTTTACATTCATGAAATGGTTTTACTATGAAGACCCAAGTGGAACTGTTATTTTTAATTATTTGAAGCAGATTTGGTTGATATTAAGTTTGTATAATGTCAGACCGGAAAATATGGTTTGGTTTGATCTTTCCTCAGTGAACTTCATGAAACCAAGAGGTTTCCAAACAGTTATGATTACCTAAGATGGCCCAATTGTACGGAATCTCATCGTATAAGAATATAGACATTTGCACAATGATGATTGTCATTTGACAGCCGTTTGACATATGTAATTTGTTTTTGCTACGGTGTTTTCCAGGTCATGTTAGGAAAGGATTTAAACAGGATTTTAGTTACTGGGAAAGAAGTTTTAGCCAACATCCATTTAATAAAATGTTTGAGTTATTGCATTTGATGTATTTTGTCCATTAATATGACATATTTTAAGTGTATTTGAGTAAATGGAGAAGCCTTGGCATTGATGGCGTGATTCTTGAATTGGTGAAATCTGTCATTTCCGTACCATATATCAGCTAATCTTCTGAAAAGATATTTTCATGAAGAA